ACTAAAGTTATAAGAATATATAAGGACGATATTATTATATTTAAAAATTTTTAAAAATCTTTTAACCGAACGTATTAATCAAAAAATAATAAGTTAAAAACTTTAACTTATTTGATTAAGTAGATTTTGACTCGAACTTAAATTTTTAATACGGTATTATTTAGGTTATCAAACAAACTTTTTATATTAAATACTACAATTTAATTTTTTAAACTATTTAAATAAATTATCAAACACTTCCTAATTATTCCTATAACTGCCTTGATACTAAACATGTGTCGAACTAATTTTCTAATAGTTGCTAACTCCCCTTGCCAGCTATTCATTGCCGGCTGTCATTTAGTTTGCCATGAAGTCACCAACTAGCCTCCCACTAATATTGTATTAGATTGCCACCTGGCATCTTTTCTATTTCGAAAGAAGAGTTGCATCAAATTCCTATTATTAAATGAAAGTTTTAAAAGCTAACTAAGACTGTCTAAATAAGATCAAATTTTTTGCGTCCAATTCCATTGTATGTCACTCATAGTCCAATTAAAGAAACAACCAAAGCCATCAAAGTTGTTCCTTTGTAAAATTTGAACTGAAAAACCTCATATATGGTTTGGCGCTGGTTAATAGCTTATTGGATATGGTCTAGGATTATGTTCATAAAAAAACCATTTTTTTTATTTTTTAGGTAATGATAAAAAAATAATAAATAAAAAATCTTTAAACAGCTAGATAATTATGGGGGAAGGTGGCCCATAAAGCTATTTAAATTGATTTTCTCCACCAAATAATAGAAGGTAATGAAATCCAACAAAGGATACATATAGTCGTCTTCGACTGCAGCTGATCAATTTTACAACGAAGAAGAAAAGTAAGCAAATCCAACCTATGGGGTGCTGAGATTTATTTGTGTTTTTTAATAAAAATAAAGGGGTGGTCAGGTTATGGTCAAAGCAAGCTATAATTACGTGAAGATTTTCAGAAACCTATACTCACCAACCTTTATTCTTTTGCGATCGGTTCTGTTTGTACGAACAATGCCAAAACCCGCCTTCTTGCGTCACCGAAAGTTGCCGTTCATTGTATCAAATATAGAAACATGATGCTCCCTTTACTTATCGCGTGAAACATTGAATGCTGTCCATTACAACACAAATAAATTTTTTTTTTTTTTTCAATTTTGGTAAGCAAAAAAACACTGTTACGTACCTATAGCTTGTCCCTCAATCTTGCTCTGCCTCGTCAGTTTGGTCAACTTTTTTTTGTGTCAGAGTTCATGTGATTTGGGGTTTGCTGGTCAACATCATTCTGTGTCTTGTTCTAATTCTTCTGTTTTTTTTTGGGTCCTTGTTCTTTCTAGCGTAGCATTTTCCCTAAACATGATACTGCAAGTTCCACCATGCAACTGTCATTTCGTGATTTAATGCTTGATTCGGTTGTTGAATGTGACATCAGACGGTTATTATGAATATATTTTTTAATTTTGTGTTGTTGATTATATTTCTTCTTGTAGTATTAAATCTAACTTTATAATTTCTTATCTGAACTTATAATGCACCAAACATCACTCACAGTCTATTTCTTTTTTTATATTTTTTTATAACCCAAGTATGTCCGGATCGGTTTATACGGTTTCTCGATTAATCATTAGACTTATTAAATACCCTGTAAGTTCAGTAGATAGATAAAACATTACGAAGATGATAGATGTGTGTAGAAAGAATCGAACCCGAGTGAACAAACCTTAACCTCACCACTGAACTGCGAACTCAAACGCTCTACTTCTTTTTCTTTTTGAGTTGATAGTTTTTTTTTTTTAATTATCATACAATGAACAAGACAGACAAGCTCAATCAAATAACTGTGTGTAAGTTCATAATTCACATTAAAAGTTGAAGTCCAGTATTGATTTTGAAATAAAAAAAATAATAAATAGTTGTAATCCATAATTAACATACGCTAAAACCCCAAAAATCCTAATGCAATCATGAGAGAAATCTTTAATCATGATTTGTTTTACTTCACGCTACTTTTTACAAACATCGAGGTGAAAAACGAAAAAAGATTAGAAGAACCATGCAGACTACAATCCATTATCCAATTCCAACCTTACAAGATTTTGAACATTCTCGCAGGCAAAAACATGCTAAATTCAGACAGTAATCTCAATCAACAACCTAAAAATGTAAGAAAGGGATAGAATTAAAAAAAAGAAAAATTGGGGGTGGAGGGTCCCATGAAGAAAAGAAAAATCAGGGTGGGTGCATGAACCTTGAACCTTTCCCCCTTTCTCCATCATCTTCTTCCCTGTTCTAAAACAAGCAAAAATCTCACCAACATTTATTAATTGAAAATACCCCTCTATTTTGATTTTTTTAATTACAGCACCATTTTTAAGAAAAAAGAAGCAGCCTTTGTGGTATATTTGTACTTCTCCTTCACAATGAACTCGGCAATCACCAATATCAAAAACAGCAAGAGAATCGTTTCTTCTTCACCAATAACAACAATAACAACCTTGTGATCTTTGTTTTCAGTTTCACCTTTATCAATACCTCCCCTTCTTTCTTTGCATCCCAAAATTTACAGGTCAGTCATTGATCCAACTCACTCTATAATCTCTCATTTGTTTCTTGTCCTTGTTTTATTGAATGTGGATTGTATTACTATATAATTGAAGAACTTTCCTGGGTTGCTTTGGTTTGACACAAAATGGATAAATAAGGCTAGGAAAGGTAAAATTTGAGGTTTTTTATTTGTGGGTTTATTGAAAAAGTTCGTGTCTTCTGAATTATTGCTTTACCTCGGGTTTTCTTCTAGCAGCTATGGAAAGCAGCACCCTTTGTTGCTTGATTGATTTTTTTTTTTTTTTTTTTTTTGTCTGATTCATCAGGTTCATTTTTATGGTAGACTGGATCTATTGAGCAACAATTCATTCGTGGTTGAGAGCTATCATATAAAATATTGCATGTTAATGTCTCCTCTTTAGGGGCATTTAAAAAATTTATGGTTGAATAGAGTTCTTTGTTTTGAATGGATATATTTATTTCCCTTGTGGAAAGAATTATCTTCGCGTAATTTTTTTCCTCCTCTTCATAGTGGATTGTATAATTAGCCAAATCAAGTCAAATAGGATACTTGCTTGTGCAAAATATTCTGTATCAAAAGGAAGATAGCCTAATATAGAACGTGAAGTTTGGTGAATGGTAGAATTTCTATTGGACTATGAAATTGAGATTATTAATGTGTACTTGCAGCTTGCGAAGCATCTGGAGTGCCTTATTCCAGTTTCATTAGTCAGGAATTATTGCTAATTGGAACTCTGTGTGTGATGTTTCCTTGCAACTTAGGAAAGTTTTGTCTAGATTGATACTAATGGGGTTAGAGATCAATGCAAATGGTTTAGCCATATTAGGGTGTAGACTGTCGAAGATTTTGTTCTTTTGGTGCACTTTCCTCGAATGAAAAAACAAGGAATTTGATTATGAGAGAAGATTGGTTTTCTCCTCACATTATTGCTGCCAGTAACACTATCTATGTTCAATTTATTTTTGACTTTCAACCGAAAAGGATTTTTTTTTTTTTTTAAATCAAAATGTGCTTCAGCTTTAATGAAAGCTGTCTATGAGGGGGGCCATAGACAATTATAATTATTGATCTCAAGCCTAACTGAGATGACTAACCAATAATATAACTGAAATTAGATGCTAGGGTATCTGATAGCAGGTCCAAGCATCTAGGATGAGCTATACTCTTTAACAACCACAACGATTTTTTTTTGTCTGTTTCAAATAAAAGAAGGTGTTGGTTAAAGATTGTACAGATTTGCCTTGCTTATTTGATGCCTGGATGTATGGCTCCATGATGTGTTGGTGATTAAAAAAATTACCAGTAGACGATGGACGCATAAAGGGGATTGGCTGAAGTAAATGGAGTTGACTCAGCCATATTTGAAATGCTGGTTGGTATGGTAGATACAGTATAGTTTATGATTACTAGTTATAGTTGGACTTGCATATTAGCCATGGTAAGACACTTGTCCTTTCCTTTTAGGTTTTGAAGAAAAAGAATGCAGAGATATGCTTTACAAGTGGACATGGTGTTGGCTATTTTCTGCTTTTGCTTCAAGTAACATGTTTCTTCTTTTAATGTTTCCTTGATAGCCAGATTGTCGTTACTGATAGTTCCAAAGGCTTCAGCTATCAGGAAATCACACAAAATTTATAATACAAACCATCATATGTAACTTACCCATTTGCATATAGGTTCCCAATGCCAGTCACTCTAGGTTGAAAAATTCAGAACTATTTTTACAGAGGGGAGTTACACTGGTTCAAACTGAACTGGCTGGTTACCAACTTAACTTCCCAAAACTTTAAGATACCACGAATTTTCAACAATATATAACAACACACGATGAGTTGTGCTAGAACTATAATTGAATTATTGGATGGCTATCTAGTTGTGGACTGTTATGCAGCGATCATAAGATGAAGCAAACAGTAAAAACATCAGACCTCACTTAGTGATATACGTCATAGTAATGCAATAGATCTTAATACCATTTATGGATAATTTTAGATCTCATAATAAATGTCTTGCAAATAATGTTTAATTAAAGGCTTATGAGCTTAATAATTGTGCTCCCCCTCCCTTCTTTTATTGAGGGGAAGAGGCTTGCACTCAAGACTGCCCGGGAACTTTAAATGTTCCCTGCCAGTTGGGCTGTTTTCCAATAAAGGCCTTTTATTCATTTAGATACAAATATTTTTTTAAGAGAATTTACAGTTTTTTTTTTTTTTTAAGTAACATTAGTAGCCTTCATTTTGTGTTTGTTCTTATAAACTTCTTGAAAGAGCTATGCCGTGTTTTTCTGAAAAGACTGTCATCTTGGTGATATATGATAATGTATCTGCTTGATTGTATTGTAACAGGTTCAATATGTCTAAGGGTTTACTTTGACACATCGATGTGCTCAAAGCTATATGTCACGTAGTCGATTTTGTGCAATGGAGTTAAAAGGAGCCTATGATATAGAGCAGTTGAATTCCACATCAAGAATTCAGCATGAACTGTGGCCTCTTGATGGAATTGATCCAAAAAAAGCCAAGTTTCCTTGTTGCCTCATTTGGACTCCACTCCCAGTTGTCTCATGGTTGGCACCTTTCATTGGACATGTTGGCATTTGCAGAGAGGATGGAACTATTTTAGACTTTTCAGGATCCAATTTTGTGAATGTTGATGATTTTGCATTTGGTGCTGCTGCTAGATATCTTCAACTTGATAGAGAACAGGTATTAGTTCATGAATCCTCTTGTATATCTCCGTTTGTCTCTAACACATCCATGCATATGCATGCACACAGACACAGTTGTGATCATCACTGTCATGATTTGTTTAGAAAGTAGGTTAATGGAAATGGAGGATTTAAGATTGCATAACAACCTAAAAGGTGTCGGGTTGACTGAATAAAGTGATTTCTCTGGTTAGACACATCTTGATGTTGAGATCCAACTTGTTTTCCAAAATAAGATGGCAAATTGGTTGATTCTGAATTTATCAAGTGTTTTTGTTATTGTCATTTCTTATTTTCTTTTCTATTCCTCGTTACTTTGTGAAAGAGATGCTACAAGTTGATCCACTAACAATTTTGTTCTTTAATATGATTTATAAAATTAGTGTTGCTTTCCACCAAACCTTGCCGGGCACTCTTGCGAGCATGGCTATAAGCACTCAGAGTATGGGACTGCAATCACATGGGATGATGCTCTACAGTCGAGTATGCGTCACTTTGAGCACAAAACATACAACCTTTTCACTTGCAACTGCCATTCATTTGTTGCCAACTGTCTGAACCGATTGTGTTATGGTGGATCAATGGATTGGAACATGATAGATGTGGCAGTTCTAATACTCTTTAAGGGGCATTGGATAGACTGGAAGTCGGTAATAAAATCCTTCCTGCCCTTCGCAGTTGTGCTTTGCTTAGGTGTAGTTTTGGTTGGTTGGCCCTTCTTAGTTGGGCTGTTCTCATTCTCTCTCCTCCTTATGGGGTGGTTTCTGTTGGGCACTTATTGTTTCAAAAGCCTGTTAGAATGCTAGAACTTATGCAACCAACGCTGGTTGCTTTGTTCTGGGTAAGTTGAATCAGTACAGTCTGTTCGTTTTGGAAGTGTCCATAGCACCAAATACAGTCGGAACATCATGGAACTCGTGTTGATGCTAGGAGATAATCTATCCCCTAGCATCATGAAACTGAACTCATTGTAGAGTTGTTCTGGAAATGAAACTGAATGTTCTTTACTAATGATAAAAAATTTACCTACGAGAGCATTTCTTTCTCGGTGTGTGATCCTTGGTCATATTTATACGGTTGGTCGCCTGCTTGGGGACTTGAAAATAAGAGAGAAAAGTCGAAACTTCATTACCAGAGATTAAGTTTATTGTATGACTAGATCTAGATTCATCCATGTGTAGCATTGCAAATTTGCAAGAGAGGGGTTGGATTCATAGAGATGTAGACATCACAATCTCTTTTGCCTTTCTGGTTTCGGACTTGGGAAAGTGTCAACTTCATTTTAAATGGCACTGTAACGCTTGGAAGATTTGATTGAAAAATAGGTTATTCAAAGACGTTACCTTTTGGCTTTTAGCAGAGCGATTGCATTACTCTGTTGGGTGCCTAGTTCTTAAAGCATGATTTCGCCAGCATTTGCCTCCTTACGGGAAGATGTAACTACCGAAAAAACATTAGAGACGAGAACTGAATTTGATTGAGGACAATCACGTACTTTGGTTACTTCACGGAACATGTTTCAACTTGTGGATCTTCGTAGAAATTTGGATTCCCCAAGGTTCATTGTATTCATCCAAACAAAAGGTTCCTTGTTACATTGCTCCAAGCCTTGCACGTTACAAAAGAAAATTTGCTGGTTTCTATACTAAATCCATCACCGAATTTCGTTATTGCATATTAGACATGTAGGGGAAAGCCTTTTTTTTCTTGTCATCAACACCAACAAACCCATCTCCTTTCATCCTCTTATTGCACGTTCATGCCCTCGACAAGTAGTTTAAATACTACCACCTGTAAAGAGGAAACACCATTTGACAAGCACAGAAACAGTGATTCTAGGCAATTACTTAGGCTGCCTTTTCATAAAATTCCATTCAAACAAAGAAAACCCATTTATTTATAAAGATGAGCATCACATTACAAAATCGAGATAGTAACTCCAACAAGGCAACTGGCATTAGTTTGCCGCTTGACCCCCTTGGTTTGGGCAAAAGGAGATGTGACCAAATTAGAGAATAGCATTAAACACGACCAGTAAGGTACATAAAATTCATGCAAGATTCCTTTGGGTTAACTTTCCTGTTTATGCCAAAGAGTTATTTGTCGAGTGATGTGGAGTATTGCCAGACTTCAAGAAAACCCATTTTATGCCCCATACTTGGGAGCCTTCCAGAGCTTAAATGCTACCTCATGCAGGAATCTATCAGCTGGTATTACAAGATTTCCTCCATGCTGAAAAGAAAAGGAAAGTGCTTAACGGAAATGCAGACAAGCATTTAGATATAATGAAACATTTGAAGTATGATATAGTCAATTGACCCATCTTTCTTGGATGGCCCAGAAATTAAGAAATTAAGAGGAATATCACGTATTTGATGCAAATAAATCAAGAAGCAATTATGTACAGAATAATTCCTAAGCCTACACACAGTATACAAAGACATTTTTGTAGTTTTACAGTTAAATTCGCAAACTTCCAGGATCACATCTGATGTCAGTGACAGACTTACTCCCCTACTATCCCATTATCTGAAAGCAGTAGTCAAAATAGGTTGATGACTGATGACAAGATGAAAGGTTGTATATCCATAAATGAAGATGCAAAAGTGTACAGGAGTGGCATTAATCTGTCCAATAAATTTATCAGATGTAATTTTGCAAATATAAAAGCCAGTAATCTAAATGCTTACCTCTTTAAAATCTTTAAAAGAAAATGTCTGTGTCATATCCACACGGGTTACAGCATACTGCCATTGAGCAATTAACATTGGACAATGATACCTGTAGAACACAAGTTAGCATGATCCATAAGAAATGAGAAAATATTACAAGAAGCTTACCACATTTTTTTTTTTAATCTTACCTGACGTCATTTCGTGGTTTTTCTCCTTTCATAGTGTAACTTTGACAAGGGAAGAGCTTTGAAAGAGTAGGATCCATCTCATCTTTAGAGATCAAAACTGACAAATCTCTGCCATCACCTTCTGGAACACAACCATAGCTCATTACAAGGGACAAGTGCAGACGGGAACCAATTTCCGAGCCAGGTTGTGCTATGCGCATGATACCATCAACTAAAGCATTAATATAATCCACATCATTGGCAATATTCTTGTCTCCCTCACCATTCACCCTTTCACCAGCTCCAACGTGCACAAATACTAAATCAAATTGACTTGTCTCTAGCGTCTTCCCCTCTTGAAATCCAAGCAACTTGAGTAACTCAGAGGTCACACAATCAGTAGATGATCCAGAAAGGGAAAATTCATTCCCATTAAAATCATTGCGTGGAAGCACAGTCAAACCAAGCTTGCCACCAAAAGATTTCAAACCAGGATTGTTAGTTATTATAGCAGCCTTCATTCCCATGAACCTGGAGTAAGATTATAGAAGATGTTGATTGGCTTCATGTAAATGTAAATCAACATCTATTCCAGTTACTCATATTAAAAACTAAGCATAAATAATAAAACTATCAATACCTCTCTGATATGGTTGGCATTGAGGTATTCTTCTGAGAACTCAAACAAAAATCAAAAAGCAATAATTGTCAACGAAATTCGACGAGAAGCAACTCTTTTATGTCCGAAAGAAAATAGCCATAGAAATTTTACCACATTTTGATAAGCTTCGCACGCATCTAACAGATACGCAAACTCTCTAACTATCCTCTCATCCCCACTTTCTGCAATCTAAATCCAAGTAAGTCCCAGCAATCATATACACAACAACTTTGAAAACTCAAATCAAACACATCAAAGCATTATAAACTTATACTACTTCAAAAAAGCTAACAGAAAAAATACAGTTTTGAGTTCAAAATATAGTATATTGATGGCATCCACATTCGTGTATGTGTGTTGCCAAATTCTATAACAATATTGGATATGAAAATGACATCAAATTCGCAATGCGACTGATCAAACATTGCCGCTGCGCATATCATAGATAAGATTAAAAAAAGTTACTAAGAACCCATAAAAGCTAATATTTTTTTAAAGATGAACAGCAGCCCTTAAATCTTATTGTAAGAATCAACAATAGATAAAAACAGCCATAGTAGTAGAATTCAAGATCAACAAAATAAATGAATAAATCACCAATAATCCTATTAAACTGTTCTCTGCTATAAATTAAGCACTATCCATTACAGTAATATTCCCAGATAGGCTAATTCCTTAAACAAAGCAAAACAAGATGGTGCATTTCTATATGATAAAAAAGATAATACGAATTAAAAGAGAGTTAAAGAAACAAGAGAGTGAGTGAAACCTGAAGGAGGAGCATTCGGGAGGGTTAAAAAGCCGCAGAAAGATTTGGAAGCGAGAGAGTGGAGATGGGCATGAGAAGGATTGATGAAAGAAGCCAATCCATCTCCGTATATCACTAAGCCTCTGCTTGCCTTGTCTGCCATAGCTCTATCTATCTGGGACTCGGCTTTACACGAAAGAGAGGAGTGTGAGAGAATATTTGTGTGCGTGTTTTAACTTCTAATTTAACATCCAAGTGATCAACTTCCAAAAGCAGGAGATGCTTTTATGTGATGATGTCGGGCTGTCAACGTATCAGTTTCGGATTGGACTATAGTAAAGTAGGATACAATTTGTTTAGTAAAAACATATCAGATTAAATTTTATAAATTCGAACCAATTTTTAAAAATATAAAATTAAATTGAAATCTTAACAAAACGGATCGAATTCGAAGCTCTATCAAATTTATCATTTATCATTTAGTTTTTTATAAAAAAAAATTATCTTAAATACATTTCATATATTACTCGAAAATAAATATATTTCAACTACTATATATATAATAAAATATATTAAAATAATATTTTATTTATCAATTTTGTAAAAAAATTCAAAAGGTCACGTAATTCAAAAACACAAAATCAAATAATTTTAATAAAAAATTTGATGAACTAAGTGGAAAGTATGAAAAACTAAAAAAAAAAAATTGTTTCTTTGCACGCAGCAGCAAAAAATAGAATGGTGGCAAATATAATAACATAAACTCTCAAAAAGATGTATAAGTCAAATTGTAATTTTTTTCGTGAAATTGAATTAAGAAAATGACAAAAAAATTACATGTGATTTTTTGAAAATACAATCGTCATTGTGAAAGAATATGCGTTGTTTGAACTTTATAATAAATAAATTCTAAATTTTAAATTAATTCCATATTTAAATTTTTAATATTTTTTTAAAAAATTATTTATTATAAAAATTTTATTTTTAATTTCGGATCGAATTATTATCAAATCGGATCAATGCTAGATCCGGATTTGATCAATTTAATTAAAAAATTAACGAATTCGAATCATAATCGAATTTATACTAAAAAAAAAAAGTTTACTAGATTCATTTAATTACATTGAATTCAGATCTGAATTCAAATCAAGATCCGATCCATTTATAACCTTAAATGATATCATTGGCTCTAGTTCAACCTAAGGAGAAAAAAATTGTGCTCTAATTTTTTAAATATATTTGTAAATATTAAAAATTTTATTTTTTATTTTTTAAACAATAAATAATCACCATGTTTATATATTTGTATGAGATGACAGCATCTTACTTTTTGGTCATAATTTATAAATAATCTTACTTTATTTTTTTTTTTAATTCGAAAAGTAGGCACATTATTCTATACTTTTCGACAAAAAATATTGCATTTATATAATACCAATTTTTTATCTAAAAATTTCTTACTACACCTACATGGAAGATGAAGTATAGAATTTTTTTTCATGAAGAGAAGCAGTTTAGAATCTTTTCAAGAAGGAAAAGTTAGAATCATGTATAAAAATATAGATATACCACCAACTATAAATTGTAATAAATAATATTCGAACTCAATCTCTTGAATGAATATTACATGAAGAGATTGCTTATAGCCACATCAATCTGTTGTATTTATTTTGTAAGAAGGAAGGAAGTTTTATTCTATAAAAGTATTAGTTAATTAATTTTTTAAAATACTGTTGGACTACAAGCTTCAAAAAATCATGATGACGATCTTCCACTTAGAGTCTTGAAATGTAGAAAATAGCAACTCGGTGTTCTTAGCTTAAAAAAAAAAAAAAAGTTTCAATTGAACAATCTGCTGAGAAAAAAATACAAAAATGTAATTTAGAAAAACAAACGTGATACAGTGACAGCACTCGGCACAATAATTTTTTTTTCTTTTTTAAGCTTACACTTTCAACACTCGGTGTAAAATTAATATGTTAAAATTTGAATCCATAACTTTTTGTTTTAAGAAATCATTATTATTAAAATATAATTTTTTTATTAAATAAAAAAAAGTTTAAAATTTATAAGATTTTTTACCCGTGCTACGTCGTTGGTTGGATAAAATATATAAAATCATTTAGAAAAATTATTTCAGTTTAATAATATATTTTATGATAAAAAAATAATTATAATTTTTTAATGAAAAAAATTATATTTAACTATTTCTTATTATTGTTTTTAAATTTTAGAAATAAATAATAAAGAAAATAAATTGTTGGTTCTTTTAAAATTTTAACACCCAATTAATTGTTGGTTCTTTTAAAATTTTAACACCCAATATTATTAAGAAACGAAAATTAAAAAAAAAAAATCAATGTTTAGAAAAAAAAAAAAAAAAAAAAAGAGGCTAGTACATTCATCGTTCGAGTGAACGGTAAATGGATGGAAATTAAAAAAAAAATCAGTGTTTAAATAAACGAGTAAATTGATAGGGGGTAAAGAAGGCCGTAGGGTGCCGACAAAAAAAATGAAAAACTCGTTCATTGTTAAAGTAAAAAATGTTATAAAATAATGAATGTCCATATGAATGTCCATCTACTTTTCATATCCCCACTACTCATGATCTTTAATGTGATTCAATTCACCATTCAATATAAGAAATTGAAAGGGTGATGCAATTGATGTATTTTTAATTATTCATAGTCCCTTCCAATTCTCATCTCAATTTTAAGGCCTATAAATAGGCTTGATTGTTCATTTGTTGATGTACAAGTTTCCTAGAGAGAATAAGAGAAACTTTGAAGTTCTTATCACTCATATTCACATTATAATGATTTCATTTTCTTGTCATCATTTTCTTCAATTCTCCTATCATTTCTATTTATTTATAACACGTTATCGACACGAAGCTCTAACCAATCGAGACAATAGATCATAAGGTATGTATCTACCAAAAGATTTAATCAATTGTTTCAACAATTGGATTTCTTCTACACAAGTGCTCCACGAAAAGATCTAAATTATTTAGATCATTAAGAGGTATGTATCTAATTTATTCATATACTTTAAATCTATTGATACATGAAATATATATTTGAAAAATTTAAATGATCTACTAATGATCTAATATATGTCATTTGAAAAGCTTTAATTTTATTATTATATTTGTTCTTATTTTCTAATATTATTATTATATATTATATTATAGAATTTTTATCATATCAAACCTCATAAACTTGATTTAGTTACTCTTAATATTTTGAATAAGAATTATTGATTATGAGTGTTTGATTTTGAAAAAATATTCTCTAATTTTTATGTCTTGGATATGCTCCTGTAGTAGCATATCAAGAAAAAGAGTTTAAGAAATATTCTGAATCGATTTCATATTTGCTCATGGCTAAATAAAATGAAAAGTTATTGATGAAAAAGAATAAATCTCGTCCAATTGGATCTATTCCATTCCCCGAAGTGAATGTGACAATTTATAATAATTTTAGACATGGACGAAGATATAGTCATAGCCATGGATGTTGTCAAAATAATTATCATTATAATTGTGATGACATAATATTACATCTCACCACCAAAAGTGGATAACTATGAAAAAAGAGAGATAAAATCAGTATTCTGAAAAATAAATATTATAGATGTGGAATGAATGAATATTGATCGTGTACTCGCCGTACACCAAAGCACCTCATTGAGCCTTGTCAAGCCTTATTGAAAAATAAATAGTAAAATATGAAGACCACTTTTATATATCAAAGTAATAGTAATTGAAATGAATTATTTGTTAGTTTTTCTATTTATAAATAAAATATTTTATATTTATTATAATTTATGTCGTATATTGATGGTTACAAATTTATTTTGTTTATGTTTATGAGGCATATATTGATTTATTTATTTTTATTGATTTATTTGATTATTTATTTTATGTTAATATTATATATGATAATATCAATATAATAGAAAGCTCTAGAAGAGCGACTATATTATTATCTAAAGAGATAGATTTTGAAAGCTCTAGAAAAGCGATTATATCATGACTTGAAGAGATAAATTTTTGAAGCTCTAGAAGAGTGAATAAATTATTACTTGAAGAGAAAATTTTTAAAGGCTCTAGAAGAGTCGATATATTATTACTTGAAGTGACTAATTTAAAGGCTTCAAAAGAGCAAATATGTTATTATCCGAAAGGATAAATTTATTATGAATGATGTACTATTCTCTTCAAAGTCTCATGGATATTTGTTGAGTTTCAAAGATATTTATCTAAATTGATATCATATCAAGATAACAAATGCGAATTCTTATATGTTATAATCATTATATAATGTAGAAAATATCTATCAAAAAAATTTATCTGTTTTCTCTTCTAGTCTTTATTACAAACATTGAAATGATTGAAACAAATATTATAATAAATCGAAGTTTACTAATTCAAATAATTTTATTATATGACATGACCAGTTGTGCTATCTTGGGTCTTTCATGATGCAAAAAATTATTAAAAATTCATAAGGACATCTATTGAAGAGCTAAAAGATTCTTCAATTTAATGAACTTTCATGTTTTGCATGTTGCCAAGGTAAATTGATGATTAAGCCATCATCAAGTAAAATTGAGATTGAATCTTCAGTATTTTAGAATATATTCAAGGTGATATATGTGGATTGATTCATCCACCATGTGGACCATTTAAATATTTTACAATTTTGATAAATGCATCGACAAGATGGTCATATATATGCTTGTTATCTATTCGAAACCCGACGTTTTCGAGATTGCTAGCAAATAATTTGATTTTGAGCATAATTTTCAAATTATGCCATTAAAACAAGTCACCTTGATAATGCTGATGAATTTATTTCTCAAGCATTAAATTATTATTGATTGGCTATTAAAATAAAGGTTGAACATCCCGTTGCTCATGTTCATACTAAAAAAGGTTTAGCAAAATCATTTATCAAAAGGCTCTAATTGATAGCTAAACCATTATTTAAAAATAAAACTCCCCGTTTATGTTTGGGGACATGCAATCTTACATGCAGCAACAGTTATTCACATATAACCCATAAGTTATCGAAATTCTCTCATCTTCGGTTGATTTATGGTCATCCGACGTTGTAGTGTGTATCCTTAGTGCTCCTTCATAAGAAAATAAAATGAGCACTTAAAAGAGATTGAGAATATATGTTGGATTTGAATCCTCTTTGATCTCTTGATTCATGAATAAGAGGTATTTTTACGGCTCGATTTATTGACTTTCATTTTGATGAAAAAGTTTTTCCAACATTAGGGGAGAGAGAAAAATAAGTAGTTGAAAATGTTGAAAAAAAATTACATGGAGTACTCTATCTTTATATCATATTGAATCTCGTACAAAATAATGTGAACCATAAGTTCAAAAGATAATTCATTTATAAGGTATTAGAAACCGACTGCTAGATGCATTCTTAGATCTTAAATGAGTAACTATAATGTATATCCCCGCCGAGAATGCTCATATTAGAATTGATGTCCCGAAGGACGAGCTATTAATGTTATAGCTAATAAATCTAAAGCACGCCCGAAGCGTGGAAGACCGATCGGTTCTAAAGATAAAAATCCCTAAAAGAAAAGGGCAAGATGAAATTATTCATAAAATGGTCCAATATATTTCGATAATAGGCTTCTAGAAGAAGTCCAAATATTTGAAAAAAATCAAGAGATTTTGATAAATTATATCAATAGAGGGAGAAAATAGGACCGAAAAGAAATATCTATTGATAAAATTTTTGCATACAATATTGCAATTGATATTATGGATGAAAATAAGGATCATGAGCCGAAATTATTAAAGAATGTTGACATAAAGATGATTGGCCTAAATGAAAAGAGCAATCTAGGCAAAATTATGTTCTCTTATAAAAGAGTAGTTTTTTGAACCCATAGCTAAAACACTCGAAGATGTTAAGCTAGTGGGATACAAATATGTATTTATGCGAAAATAAAATAAAAAAGATGAGATTATAAGATATAAAGCAAAACTTTTAACACAAAAATTTTCGTAAAGAATTGACATTGACTATGAGGAGACATATTCTCCTATAGTAGATGCAATTGTCTTTTGTTATCTCATTAGCTTGGAAAAATATTTGAAAAACATTCATATGCATGCATTTAATGAATGTGATCACGGTTTATTTGTTCGTTTGAAATGATATCGGTATGAAAGTCCTAGAAGGACTTAACATGCCAAAAGCATGTAATACATATTCTCGAGAAAAGAATTCAATTAAATTATAGAGATTTCTATTAGGATTATTTTAGTATTTGTTTTATTATTTTGGTTTTTAGAAATTCAATTTATACTTTTTATATTTTATTTTTATATCTACTTGTTTATTACTAACCTATGTGCATGTGATATAATCACTTCAATGATTATTTCTTGAAAGAAAGTTATAAAAAATAACTCTATTTGTTCATATGTTTTTATTTGAAAAGGGGTTTGTTTTATATGTTGATAACTTAAATATTATTGGAACTCCCGAAGAGATTCCAAGTGTCATAAGTTACCTAAAAAGAGAATTTGATGTGAATATCTTGGGAAAATAAAATGTTATCTCGACTCGCGGTTCAAGCACTCGAGAGAATGAGATTTTCATTCATCGATCAATTTATATAGAAAAAGGTTGTACAATGATTCTATATAAAGATCATTCATTGACTACCCCAATGATAGTTCATTCACTTGATATCTAAAAAGACCCTTTTTGACCTCGAGAAGATAACGAAGAACTACTTGGTCCCGAAGTATTATATTTTAGTGCCATCGGTGCATTGATGTATCTTGCTAATAATACTCGACTTAATATAGTCTTTTCTATAAATTTGTTAGCAAGTCATAGTTTTGTTTCAATATAGAGACATTGAAATAAAGTTAAATATATACTACGTTATCTTCGAGGAATAATTGATATGGGTTGATATTACTCTAATAAATGAAAGACAAGATTAATTATGCGGATGCGGAGTTATTTAACTGATCCATACAAAGCTCGATCTCAAACTCGGTTATGTATTTACATATGAAGATACGGCTATATCATGGCGTTCTATGAAGCAAACTATAGCTGCCACATCTTCAAATCATGCGGAAATATCAATTCACGAGGCAAATCGAGAATATGTTTGGCTAAGATCAACAATCCATCATATCCGAGAGATATACAATTTATCTATCAACGAAAAGAAGTTCCAACAATATCATATGGGATAATGCTCGCTTGCATAGTTTCATTGAAGAAAGAATACATCAAAGTGACAATCCAACGATTTATTCACTAAGGTGTTACCTACCATAACTTTTGCGAAGATAATTCACAAGATTGAAATGCATCATCTTAGAGATCTTAGAAGACAAAAATGAGGATTAATGTGTGCAAGGAATATTGTACTATTTTTCCTTCACTAGGATTTTTTTCCCATTGGGTTTTTTCCTAGTAAGGTTTTAATGAGGCATATTCCTTGTGCAATGGACATTCAAGGGGAGTGTTATAAAATAATGAATGTCCATATGAATGTCCATCTACTTTTCATATCCCCATTACTCATGATCCTTAATGTGATTCAATTTACCATTCAATATAAGAAATTGAAAGGGTGATGCAATTGATGTATTTTTAATTATTCATAGTCCCTTCCGATTCTCATCTCAATTTTGAAGCCTATAAATAGGCTTGATTGTTCATTTGTTGATGTACAAGTTTCCTAGAGAGAATAAGAGAAATTTTGAAGTTCTTATCACTCATATTCACATTATAATGATTTTATTTTCTTGTCATACTTTTCTTCAATTCTCCTATCATTTCTATTTATTTTATAATAAAAAATAGTTTTACTTTAGTTTATAAGTAAAGGTAATTTACATCTAGGACAATGCCCTTCTCAAGTTCTATTTTGAGTCCCAAGAGACTGACTTATCTCTCAACATTTGATGAACTTACTGTCGAGGCCACGGAATTTGGATAGAGAAGAAAGAATTCACATACTCCAACTCGTATATATTTTTTACTTTTAAAAAATTTAATTTGATTACTATAAACAACTTTTTAATAAAATATATATATTTTTTTTAATTTTGACATGATGTGATGGTGTAAAAATCCAACATGTGTCCTAGAACGTGATTTGAAAAAACAAAAAAAGAAATAAAAAACCAAATCAAATCCACCCAATAACGAGAATCAAACTGAGGAACCCAGTACAGATTACTCTCTCATAGCATATTGATTCAAGAAAATTATCCCAAAACTTAGTTAAAACCCATATCTTTTTCAAAATCTGAATTAATCAAATGATGTTCTTTAAAATAAAAAATAAAAAATTACACCATGTTAGATGAATTCTTGTCTAAAGTTAATGTATTTTTCTCAAAGTTAATACCAACAGAAACCAAAGAAAGCCTAAACCATCAAAATTCGAAAAAACAAAAGAAACCTAGAAAAAAAAAACACTCAATTCCAAAAAGTAACTCTGAAAAAAAAACTGATTTATCTGACACAAAAAGGTTCCTTGATAACATCACCATCAGCTGTAACAGTAGCAATAATTCCTCCTAAGTCTCCACCAGTTCCTCATCATCATTTGCAGCTCAATTCCTCGTCAATTCTCCTGAGCTTTTCTCAAAATCCACTCTTTCTGTTTCTAAAAAGTTCAGATCGCCATCCTTCTTCTTCCCTCCATTCCCTTCTTTTTTATTCTTTTCAATTTTCGCTTCTCCTCCTTTTTCTTTCTCTTTCTTCTCGCTGCCACCAGCAGTTTGTCCTCTTTCGTCTCTCTATCGTCAGCTTTGTCTTTCACCCAATAATCAAGTCTACAACCCCCCCCAAAAAAAAAAAAAATTGACAATAAACATAAAAACAATTGTTGAATTTGATCTAGGTTTGCGATGTTAAAATTTCGTAAAGGAGAATTGGGCTTGGGAGACTAGATCTTGAGGGTGAGTTGACGAAAAAGCCAACTCTTGTTTTTTCTATTTTTATTTTTTGTATTTCGTTTCTTGTTTTTCTATTTTCTATTTCTTTTCAAATCATGTGCCTAGACATGTGCCACATATGGTCAATTTTGAGAAAAGGGTTAATATTTTATCAAAAAATAATTCATTGAATTCAAATTAATTTTTTTATTGGTTATAAATAGATGCGAGTTTGACCAACAATTCAGGTGCTTTCATGTAATTTAGCCCCAAAAGAATGCACACAAGGTATAAATGTGAAAGCAATAATGCTAAGCTAAGATTCATTACAAAAAGTTGCTATTCTCACTGCGCGGCAAAGAGGTTGGATTAGACCAAAGATGAGCCAGGATGAACCATACGATGATCTCATGATGCCGCCACTTCGGTTTTGAATCATTCTAAATGAAGCTACAGCGGATCCTTCCTTGTTATCAAGTAGTAGACTTTTCTGATCCAGTTGAAAGCCTCCAATCCCAGTGACTCGCGACTCGCGAAGCGAAGCAGTTTTGGGAGAAGCTGAAGCCTTTAAAACATCTTGCTTGGGAAATGCTCAGTCCTCAACCTCAGTGTTGAAAATAAAACTTGGAAAGACAGTGGTTATGTCCCTGGAGGATAATACCGTTAATAGCAAAGTCCAGTCAGTAGTTTACATGAGTTTTTTCAGTCAGGTTGCAGGTTCAATGAGAGGTGAAATTGGCAAAAACAAAATGGATGGATTTTACAAACATGGAGAAAGCACAAGATATGAGGCAAGCCAATTACTTGAGATAAGGAAGAGTCATGTTGTTCAATAGATTTGGATGTCGAACCACAAAAGCCTTCCATTCTTCTTCGTTGATTTTACCATCCCCGTCAGCATCAGCATCAGCAAATGTCTGAAGAGAGATTGATGGTACTGTGTGAGTATCAAAACATAAAGAAGGCGTTAGAAATAGAAACAAGAAAATAAATATTTCGACTACAGCTTGCCTTGTCTACGATAGCCTCCAGAAGATCATCTGGCAATTTCACATCAGATTCCAATAAAATCGCAATCACCATTTGCTTAACCTGAAATCATTAAAAGGCCAAATCTATAAAAATCTAGTTGATACCATTGGGACTTTTTATTTCAGTATATACATTGGCTTGCACATTAGCGATGGCAACAGTCACTTAAGAACAAAAGCCAGTACAGTATACTCACTTCCTCTCGCTCGATGAACCCAGTTTGTCTCAGATCATACAGCCTAAACGCAACTGCAAAACATAAGTGTGGGGATGAAACATGACCATAATTGCCATTTAGTTTCGTGAATCAAAAGAAAAGGATGGAGTCTTGAGCCCTCACAATCAATTTTTTCTTCCATAGGTGCATAAGGATGGAACACGTTGAGTGCATGAACAAATTCCTCAAATTCGATGACCCCATTTCTCTTTTCATCAAAAAGATCAAAAACCTAGGGAAGAAACAGACAAGCACTAGTTTAAAATGGTAGGTTACAAAAATGAGAGGATGTAAGAATAGCAATTAAATGTTAGAAGTCCACTGCAATTAAATGTTAGAAGTCCACTGCACCATTTATAGAGAGGAGCAAGGCTACGATTTGAACAAATATTATCTACTTTGTATGCAATGATCACTATTTCCACCAATTTGACCATGCTCTTTGTATTTCTATTGAAGGGAATTTCTCCCATTATTTTCCATCTTGTCTTCAGCACAAGATTTGGCCAAGTACACACTCTATTCATTCTCCAAATGCATATTTCATATTTTCTGTCATATTTTTTTTTCTTTTTGGAAACATAAATCTGTTATTTGGCTCCTATAAATATTAAATCTTGATTTTTATGCTAAGAAAAACATTACACTCAATATCTTATATTAAAAATGATCGTATATATAGATTTATGCAGATATATAATATCCATGACCAAGAGCGCCACCTTCGTTATGGGAGTCGAGTCAATTATGGAAGATCTACAAATGCCAGTTCAATATTTCAATTGCTTATGTCAAAATCTTTTGTGATTAGTAGACCCACTTAAACAATACAAATGGGGATGTAATAAAAGTTTTTCTAGTTCATTACCCGGTCCAGAAAAAGATTCTCCCCGTGAGCAGTTTGGAATAGTGCTAATCGAAGCTCTTCCTGCGAGATAATAAACACGAACAATTATAAGCATGCAACCACAGGTCAAGCCAAGAATCCTGTCAGGTACACAGCAGAAATTAATGCTTGCCTGCATGATCAATCGGTTACACCATTTGAGAATCAAAATACCATGAGCTTTAACCTAATCAAAGAGCAAAAACAGTAATTCTGTTTTTTCTTTTCACAATATTTAGATCATCAGCTATACCTACTTTTTCATTGATAAGTCCCATATACAAACTTCAGACCATCAACCTGATATTTATATAACCATTTATTCACTTCACTGCCTTTCAGACATATGATGACCAATTTTGATTTTAACATTCATCAATAAAATTGGTCGTACTTGAAATTATACAATTAAAATAACAAAAGTACAAACCATAACCACAAGGCAGTGCTTCAGCTATATCATGCATAACAAGCATCCCGGACTGATGGGATAAGGTCTAGCAGAAATACTTTATCTTAAAATCTCAGTTAATCTACATGCTTTGTGCATAACAGGAAAATCAGGCTTCCTCCAAATGACAAGCTCATGAAATCTTTCATCGCCCTCTCAATGAAAAAGGTTAAATCTTTCTCACTTCCTTCTAAAACTAAGAACCAGACCAGGGATGGAAGTGACACTTTATACTTCGCAGACAGCTTCTTCACCTCGTTGTGCTTTTAATCTGGCCCTCATTCAAATGCTATCAGCAGACACGTTTACTTCAAAATCCAAATGATCAGTCACACAGGCCATTCAATTTCATAGAAAGCTTAAATTACCCATGGATATTTCAACTTCAATCATAATCGACTTCTCAATAAGTTATTTTGAATAACTACTGCTGTTGATTTCTTTTTGATAAAAAGTAATTTAATCTAAGAGAAAATAAATTTTTTTTTAAAAAAAAATCTCAAAGTTCTTCCGAGCACCGAGCAAAAACAAAAAATGTAGCTTGAAAGGAATTAAAATTAGCAATACCCAAATAATCAAAATTACCTTGTGAATCAAGCCATCTTTGACAATCGAATTACTCAACTTCTTATAAAGCTCATACAATGCCTCCAGTTCATTAACAGTAACTGCAATATCATTTCCAACCACTCAATTTTCATTCGAAAGTAACCCAAAAAAAAAAAAAAAAAAAAATCTAAATACAAGCATTTTCACCAAGGAAAAAAAAAACCCATGTTTTTTCCCCTCCTAAATTTCACTCAAATTAAGCTTATGCAGGCAGCTAAATTAAAATTCAATTATTTTCTTCACTTTTATCAGGAACCAATTCGCCCTTTAATCATTTATTCAAGAAACATACATAAACAAAACTGAGGGAGAGAGCGAGAGGCAGTACATCGAGATTCATCAGCAAGGCGAGCTAGATCTTTGAAGCCGCAGCGACTTTTTTTAACGGTTAGCCGGTACTCAAAGCAATTACCAACAGCTAATATAAAAATCTCAATTATCGCTACAAATGGTATAAACGCGGCACAGATTCGCTCCCCAACTGTCAAAGAACTCGATCTCTGGTAAGAAAAAAAAATCACAAAAAAAAAACCTAAATTAAAAATGCTTCCCTTCTAGAATTGTAGCAAAAACATAATAAACACAAAATGGTATAGTAATTAAGGTTTAATTAAAAAGATGTTGTAATAATCAAATAGTACAGAGGATTTGTTGTTGTTGGAGAAATCCATGGAGGCAGCAAGCAGAGGCAGTTCATGAGATCGTGAGCAGCTCGTGGAGGAAGTACTAAAATGGAAGATAGCATTGCATTGATTGATTTGATAGCCAAGGCAATTCCTGATGAAAGAAGGAAAAGGACGGGGATGACGAGATACCGTCTTATGGCCCATGGTCGTTGCGGAGACCAATACGGTAAATTTTAAATTCCTCGTACCGGGGACTATTTTAAGGAAAAAAAAAACAGAAAAAAATTACATTCAAATTCACTAAAAATTATAAATTATTTTTATTTATATTCAATTTGTTTTTTTTTTTTGGTAAATGTTATTAATATGTTCTGAGGTAACATAAAATTTCTTAAAAAATATTTATCGTTATATAAGTAAATGACACTGCAGATTCTGATTTTTTTAAAAAAAATTCTCTAAGGCAGACCTAACGTCTATATTTTAACTGCCTTGGTAAAAAAAAAAAAAAAAATCAGTTTAGTAAGAAATTCTAGTGTTGATTTCTTTTTTATGTGGATTATATTAGAGTATTAATCTTACATTTATAACAGGAAATTAATGCTAACTCGGTATAGCAATTGATTGCAAAATAAATAAATAAACATTGTCAAATTTATGAATATTCTTCTATTGAACTATTGTTTTGATTGTTTTCATGCTGCACTGCAAGCATGGTTCAAGTAAAAAAAAAAAAACATAATTTAGATTTTTTCATGTTTTAATTTTAAGTTCTGAAATTCTAATACTTAAAGTTTCTCGAACTACTTTAAGGTTTAATAAGATATTCAACCAATAAAATAAAATAAAAAACAAATAATTATTATGCGATTTATTATTGTAGAATACTAGAGTTTTGATAAATATCATGCATTTTGGTGCGTTTGGTATTATGCGGTTTGTTATTGTAGAATGCTAGAGTTTTGATAAATATTGGAGTTATTTCTATTTCACACATCAATTTTATTTCTTTTAACTTACCTCTTCAATTTGGTCTCTTCTCACCATGCAAGTAAATAATTTTTTATTTCTTTGAGGCGGTGCGAGGGCGGCTTACGAAGATCACGACGGAGTTGATCGTCTAATTGCTGACTAGATACCCTACCATGTATAGAAACTATTGAACGAAAAAGAGAGCATATTAATATTAATCCATGCCAGATATGGTGTGATTATGATGAGACTTAAGCCCCACTAAATTTCGTCTCGAATTGATCGGGATTTGTTGCTTGTTCATAATTACAGATTGCTTGTGATACCACTAATCTGTTGCCTTATTTATAATGGCTAATAAGTTTAGAACATAGTTTGGAATGAGATTAGGGGTGGCGCTGAAAAGCTACTTGGCCCCACACATAAACCTTTCTTTCGTCCCATTTAAAATTCTTTCGTGCACGTTTAGAATAAGAATTGTGAATTAATTTATAATCTCTGTGTTGATTACTATTCAATGATTGAATTAACTACCTGGAACTTGGTGTTCATACAAAAGTCAACGTCATCACATATTAATCTAATGGGAATAGTTACCAAAGACAGGTCATTCCATCTCTTTCCTTTTGTCCTAGTAGGATACCCAGAAATACCAAATGGAGGCTCACGATTCGTGAAGGAGCTTCTAGACAACGTCAAATGATAAACTATATTTTTCAATATTAAAACTCATCAGTAACGTTAAATGAACACTGTTTTTATATATTTTGTACTCATCCAATAAAATATAACGACTTCCTTCCACTCGTTTGTTTTTAAATAATAAATTAATTTTTCAATTTATCTTTTAGAAAAAAGTCTAATATATCCTTATATTTTGAACTTATTTCCGGATATTGTTTAAAAATTAATCTTAAATATAAGAATAAATTAGAAATTTTGATTATTATATAAGTACCGACAAATGTATTAATCGCATATCACTGTTTTTATGAATTTAGAAACAGAAAAAATAAAATAAAAATTATCACGTTTTAATTACACTGCTTTTATATACGCATGAAAAGTCATATACACGGGATATTCGTGTGCCTAAGATCCCGCCAAGTGTGACAAGGGAGAGAATTGGGTCACGCGCCCGTGACACAGCATCCAAAAAAAGTTCGGACAGCATACGGACGAGAAGTTAGGATTAACTTCGGCAGTCACCATGTCAAGGCAAGTTACTTCGTGAGGAGGCTAGCCATAATGATATGTATGTTTATTAGGCATTGAAGAGTTCAATTTTTTATACTAAACTCGACAACGTGTTTTATTTTTTGTTTTTCAAGTGAGAGAGCCTGACATGGAAATTATATTTTATAATTATTTTTATTGTAATATTTCTTTAATTGTTATAGTTTTTTTTTTAGAATTTGTTACCTTTTATTTAATCAAGCAATTGTTATTAGAAAAACAGTGCTCTAGGATTTTATTTTATTTCTTTAATATTATTAGGATTTTCCAGCTTTCTTAAAGAGTTGTAATATATATATATATGTATTTTTGGACAGTGAGAGAAATTTTTTATGAATAAAAATTAAGTTTTGTGGAGTTTTCTTACCATTCTGCTTACCATGCGCGGCATCTCAATGAGACAGATATAGAGTTCTATTGACATACGGATCATTTATTCAAGTGTCTATGGTCGATTTAGTATTGAAAGGATCGCATGACCATTAATTGATGGATTAAGGGGGAAATAGAGATTGAAATTAATTATGATCACTTCTAACATATTTTAATGTGATTGAAGTAAGTTTTAGCAATAGAGGAGTAGCCATCCGAAAACAGAATGAGACGTGTATAGTCACTTTAGATTCAAATGGTAAATAATTTATGAATAATCAGTTTGATAAATAATTTATGAATGCTGTTGGAATCTTTGAAAAAGTCAGGAAAATAATTAGCAGAAGTTAAAGAATAAACAGTTCAGCATTATATATGTTTGTCTTTGTTGGTGACCGTGAATAGAGTAGTAGATTATCTTGACAAGCGCACGTTAATGCAATCATTAAGTCTCATTTTTCTATTTAATATTCTATAACCGCCAAGAAAGATTATGATTAGATTCCAAGGAGTAAAATTTTCAATATTTCTTAGTTTTTTATTTATTTAGTATTCAGATGGTATTTTTAAGCTACCTCGTGTACCTCGAACTTCCTTGGTCTTCTCTCAACTAATTCATGTTCTCGGGTACTATAAAAATGAAAAACGATAATTGCATCCTCGCGTTGAAATTAAATGTTTGTTGACAATTTACACGATGGAGTGTATATATCCTTACCAACTAGATTCTACAAATCTAAAAATATTTTTAAATTAATTTATAAGTCAAGTCAAAAATATATATATTTAAAAAAAAAAATTTTGTACTACAGGGAGGTAGACTTTACTCCAATCATTTAGGTATGTATGAATGTTTTTCCTTTTTTAATGGTAAAGATATTTTCGAACCAATTTATCAGATGATTAAAATTAATTTTTTTTTAGCGATTTTAAAGACCAACTATTTATCTCGACGCAGCACATTAAAAAAAGAAAAAGAAAAAGCAAAACTCCTTATCTATCTTTCTATGTTTAATTGGTCTGTATGGATGGCTGCCAGACGAAAAAAATTAAAACAATGAATGGGTTAATTTGACTGCAGCCCAGTGGATCTTATTTGGCCTTTATTTCCTTAAATTACGAACCGAATTAAAACGCTTTGCACACCCAGGCCAAGCCCACAAACATGACTGGGCCTATAGAGCGCAGAACCACCATTTGAATTCATCACAGAACAACACTACCGTATCTAGCGCGTGTAAGGCACTCAAAAATTTCCATCGCCCGATAAACAAACCAAGTACTGAGTCAACTCAACTCTTGATGACGTTCCGAGTCACACCAGTAATCACTGAGTCAACTCGGAATGTCGGCAAATGAACTCTATATTTCTTCCTCACAGTCGCCGCTATCAAATTATCACAGTCTCTCCACTGCTGCGTTCGCTCTCTAACAATGTCTTCTTCATCTTCAGCAAGTACCAGTACTACTGATGCCTCTACTCTCCGCCGAAATCGTATTCTCTCTAGCAAGCTCTATTTTGACGTTCCTCTTCTTAAGGTTAGTTATTTTAAGAGATAAAACTACTATAATTAGCAATTTATTTTCGTTGTTGAGAATTTTGATTTTTTTTTTTTTAATCAAACAGGTGCCGCTAATTTACTCGACGGCATATGATATTTCGTTTCTTGGCATGGAAAAACTGTAAGATACTTATAATTAATTTATTTTATTTTGTTATTTTGAAGTTTAATCTTCTATTTATTTGTGTAGCTGTAATTAATTTGCTGCTTGCTTGGCTGATGGTACCACTGTCGTGTTCATTTCATTCAATTTTGTCTTGGTATTGATTTTTAATTTTTCTTTGTTGAGTTTTAATAGTGTGTTAATTGTTAATTTCAGTGGTTCAAATGGTAATTTACTATGTGATAATAGCATTTGATTATATTCTAGAATTGTTTTTGAAATTTGATTATAATTTGTGCTGCCTTGTAATTATACCCAATTTGATGCTTTTTTCACTGAAAATTTTATATAGTACTTGATTCTTGAATTATGGTTGGAAGCTTCAGATGAAATTGCAGAATCTTGATACTCTTTTAGTATTTTTAACTTTTAATTACCATGGCTAGTATCTATGTGCTGCTCTGGAAAGCCCATGGCTTAGTTTTTGCTTAGTGCTTCTATCTTTTCTCAATAAATCATGATTATAAGCTAAGCTATAGAATAAAAAGCTGGTGTAATGTTTGTGGAGTGCATTTGGGTCCATGATCATGGTTACCAAGATGTTAGCTAATGCCTAAAGGCAACAAGCTTTAACTTGATGTTTAGATGGTTCCAGAAATTGATAAATTAGTGCCTCCTTGTAATTCTACCATTTTCATGCTCTTTCACTGCGACATGTCTGGTACTCTATTTTTGAGTTGCAATTGGACATTTGAGATAAAATTACAGATCTGGAGAAAAACTCAAAGAGAGAAAGAAATTATATTGCCACTTCTGCTTTTGAATTTATTTGCTGTTATGGGAAGTTGTATGGCCTAGTTTTGGCTTACCATTACTATCATCATCTGTAACACATACTTGTAATTTGGAATTACAAAAATGAAACTTTTGTGTATTGTTGTTGGGCTTTAAGTTTTGGACTTAGTTCTTAGTCTTCATGCTCACTATGCATTTGCTTAAATTTTAACTGATGTAGGCACCCATTTGATTCTTCCAAATGGGGTCGTATATGTCAATTCCTCATTATGGATGGTGTTCTAGACAAAAAGAGTATTGTTGAGCCTCTAGAAGCTTCGAAGGATGATCTCCTTGTGGTACTTTCTGTATCTTTTTGAAAACTTTCACCCTTTCTTTATTCCTGTGTGTATCTAATGCTTCTAAGGGAACGTATGATGCTAGGGAGAACTTATCATCCAAGAGACTAAGAACTTTCTGTTCATCTATGTTACTCATTGTTGATTTACATTTTCCGTGCTCCAGAGTTTTCACTGAATCGTTGTTAATTTCTAATTCTTACATCCAAAATTGTGTGAGATGAGAGCTTGATGAACAATTGAAATTACATGGCAGGGACGGGAGTTTTGGATAAATAGTTTAACTACCTTATAGTTGGCTTATTGATGTGAGATGAGTGATAAGCATGCATGTGGACCGGATTTATATATTGTGCTAATTGGTTCTTTAACAGGTTCATTCGGAGTCATATTTGAGCAGTCTAAAGAGCAGTCCAAATGTTGCCATGATAATTGAGGTGATGTATAGTTTCTCCTTGTATTGCCAATTTCTTTTTCTTGGAATTGCAGTCGAACTGCTTTGCAAACAAAACTTATCTAAGCTATATTTTTTAAATTTGTTGATAATAGATCACTTTGAGTTAGTGATGATCTCAAGATGGCAGTATTTGACCTAAAATGCAGGTCCCCCTGTCGCACTACTTCCCAATTGTCTTGTGCAGCAAAAGGTTCTTTACCCTTTTCGCAAGCAGGTATGTATAATCATAAGTGGCTTCTATTTTTTATTTGTAAGGATAAACTTTAGACTCCATTTTTCTCTAGGGCGATTTTAGATGATCTCTTAAGTTCTTGTTGTTATAAACATAGACTAAATTTGTCCAATCCAGCTAATTCGCTCAACTTTGTAAAACTTAGCTAAATATGATATAAACCCTGAAGGATTTATAGGTAGCCTCTAAATTTGACATTTCAACCATTCTATTAACATTGATCAAAGTTGAAATTTTTTGGTAGGATTTTTATCTCATACAACTAAAATAATGTCAACACATCCAAACAAAACAAAGTTATGATATTATCTCAACAATATGATGTCATTACTACAATGTGTTGCTGCCAGGTACCCTTCTTTTTTATGGCTACAAGAAGGGATTTCTGCCCAGCTTTTGGGACTTCTTTGTAATGTTACGAGAGAAATGAGAATAGTAGGGTAGCCTAGGCTCAAATTGTTCAATGCAAAGTGGATTGATCTATCTAGAATAGGTTGTCATATATTGCAACTAGATTTGCATGGCTGTTGTACCATTTCTATCTTCCTAGAAGGCCAAGGTTTCAATGTTGTCCTCTCTCATTGAGCATAGGCCAATCCTATTGTTCCAAACATAGATGGGTTTTCTTTTGGTGCATGCGAAGTCCACAATTCAATGAGTGCAACACAAAAACTCATTAATCTTAGGTCAGTGCCATGCAAATAAAGAGTGTTTAACTTACTATTTTTTACCGTGTTTGACCAACTCAATTGAACCACATTTCCAAGCTAATCAGATTGGCTATATAGTCAGGATTCTACACTCTGTTATGTACCTAACCAAAATCTCTTTTGGTGGTTGTATCACTTGATCTTTTCCTTAATGTTTTTTAGAATTCACTTGAGTTAGCAAAGATGGTATTATAACTGCATCACAATCTGGGCACACTTCTCCATCTCTTGCTTTGATTCTGTGGTTAAACCATATTTCACCAAATTGAATCGCATTGATTCTGTCTGACCAAATTTAGATTAGGCAGATGAAGTTAGACTATCTTCAGAGATTTGTACTTTGAAATAGGTTTAGCAAAGCATAGGACCTTTAAATTAGCAAAGTTTTCATCACTTAAGCAAATTGGATTCATTAAATAGATTTGATCGAAGTTTATGTCATCACAAGAATTTACAAGATCTTGAATTTCCGGACATAGCATGGTGTCTGCACTGATTATATTCTACCATAGGTCGGGGGAACTGTTCTGGCAGCAAAAATTGCAAATGAGCGAGGATGGGCCATCAATGTTGGAGGAGGGTTCCATCACTGTTGTAGTGAAAGAGGAGGTGGATTTTGTGCTTATGCAGACATTTCTCTGTGCATCCACTTTGCCTTTAATCGGCTTGATATATCAAAGTAATTTCTGCAGCTCAGATGAAGTAGATGCAACTTTTGTTGTTTCGTGCTGCTATTGTGTCAGTTGACAACCATCATTTATGAACGTGCTTCTGTCCTCATTGTTTGCAAAAATTTACAGGGTGATGATAATTGACCTTGATGCACACCAAGGAAACGGCCATGAAAGGGATTTTGCTGATGACAGTAAGTTACTTTGTTCTTCTTCCCTCATGGTGTTTTAGTTCAATATTCCTTCTGTATTTGACTAATAGTTTTGAAATTTTGTTTCTTTCTGACAGGACGAGTTTATATTCTGGATATGTACAACCCTGGAATATATCCTTTTGTAAGTTGCATAAATTAAAAGTTGTTTTCTTTCTCTCTCTATAATTTATACATATATCACTCTTTCTAGTTAATTTGTGAATTTCATCTATTTTAATATTGAAGTTGTTGTCAGGTAAAGAAAATATTTTGTTCGTGGTGGTTTTTTAATTTTTGGTATTTCTTTGGTAGGATTATGAAGCAAGGAGATACATTGATCAGAAGGTTGAAGTAGTGGTATGTATTTTTTGGTAAAGTTGGATTTTGGTTGTTTTCTATTCATCAGAATAAAATATATTCCTTTTCCTGTATGTGAACAGAGTGGTACAAAAACAGATGAGTACTTGGCAAAACTTGATGAAGCACTTGAGGTAGACATTTATGCCTCCAAAATTGCTTTCACTGCCTCTCAATTTTTGTTCAATTGTATCAACTCGATAGAGCATAAGCTTTCAGTCTGCTTCCATTATAGTCTACTTTATATGCTACGTGCTGGCTTCTTTATTCTGAAACTTCATCCATCTTATAGTATTCACTTGGTTCCTTGACTTGTATCTTTTGCCCGTTTCAGTTTCATCTTTCTTTTGTGATGTGCCTACATGTAATTTGTTAAATAATTTACTACAGCCTTGATACTTGCGATCTACCTATAACTCTTCCTATTCAGCTTAGTCAAGTTTGGTGCATCTGCACAATATGTCAATAGAGTTTGGTAATCCCTTTATAGTTATTTGTACTCTAAAGTTATTGGTGTTGACTTTATGCCATTCTTTCAGTTATAGCTTCACAGTTTTTTTCTAAAACTTTGTTACTTTATCCGTCAAAATTTCTGAAACAGGTGCATTTGGTATCCATAAGCACACATCATAGATTCTTATAAATTATGTATATGTGAGTATGTGACACTAATTATTACCAGGTGTGGATGTTAGGTTGCTGGTAAAATGTTTGATCCTGAGTTGGTGGTCTTCAATGCCGGCACTGATATCCTAGATGGAGATCCATTAGGCAGTCTAAAGGTACCTCCATCCTTGGATCTATTCGTGCAGAAAGATATTGATATTTAATCTCAAATAGCACCTAAATTTGCAGAGCCTATGATGAAAATCTTACGTTGTCATTGGGTTTTTTGGCTGTTATGCCTGGGGAATTATATAATAAGCTGGGCTTTAATCATCCTACCAACTTGATAATCTCCGGTTTATTATGTAACTATCATCATGCCAATCCGATGTTATTGAATGAAGGGGATTTGGAATTGGTGAGGATGCATCTTTAGAATCTAAGAAAAATAAGAAATTAGGCGGCTTATTTTCTCCTCTTGAGCTGTTATCGATCGACTAAAGGAGAGAATATATATGCTACTTGAAACTGATATGCTTTTGTAACCATATACGAAGTTAATTAATTACCCCAAGTCTGTAAGGAACCTATGTAATTTACTATGCGTACCTGGTGCAGATTAGCCCTGATGGAATAACTAGCAGAGATGAGAAGGTTTTCAGGTTTGCTCGTGAAAAGAATGCCTCTCTTGTCATGTTGACATCAGGTTCAGTTTTCACATTAGTGCTATAGCTTGTACCAGTCAAACTTGTTTATGCATGTGTTTGTGCTTGGATACTTGTGTGTGCTTTATACTTCCCTGGGTTGGTGGGTTGAGAGAGACTGGCTTTTAGCGAAGAAAACATCTGGTGATTATCATGCTTCATTCTTAAATGATTGCCATTTTCATGGATGGAATTTTAGATTCTTCAATCACATCACCTCATATACCGAGATGCATCACAAAATTTTATGATCCCATTACTGTATTGTATCCAATTCATCTGCTTGGTAATCATGATCGTGGACCAAACTGCAAATTGCATTAGGTTGCTAGAAAATGTTTAAGAAATTACAACTTGCATTGGTGTCTTCAACAATCCATTTTTTAATGGATGAAGCCTGAAAACATGCAGAAGCGTTAATTTGATGCTTGGGTTTCTCCAAATTGACAAGTATTTTATCCGTGTAGAGTACTTGAACCAGCAATTCCCTAGGGTTTTTCTCTGCATACCTTGATTCATTTCATCTCAAAACTTAAAAGTAGTTTCCTTTTGCTGCTCTGAAGAGAAATGGTGTATCATCTTCCCTTTATATTGCCTTATCTCGAAGACAGACAGACAGACAGACAAAAAGGGTTGAAATAGATCCACTGGGAATGACACAAAAGGACCCATATACCGACCCCGACTAGTTTTGGATTCAGGCGTGGTAGCCTTTGTTTTTTTCTCTCGTTGATGATCTAGGCCAGGTTGCTCATGCATGATAATTAGACAATCTGACTTCACTAGATAGGATATCAATTGTTTGATGGATTACATCTCGGGGCCTGGTGTTGGATAACTCTATCTACATAGATGTGCATTATCTTATAATTTAAACTTTTTCTTGTTTCAGGTGGTTACATGAAGTCCAGTGCCAGAGTCATAGCAGATTCGATAGTAAACCTCTCAAAACAATGCTTGATAAATCTAAGCAGTTCTAGGTGAAAATTCAGCTGCAACGGAAAGTTTGTAGATTCCTATATGACCTTGGTGAGAGGCTAAAGAGTTTTGGTCCATGTTTGAGATGAAACCTGCGTCAGCTCCTCACCCCTTTTATTCAGAAGTTTGTAATTATGTGAAAGGAAGAAAAAGAGAATACGTGGTGCATTTATAGGAGCAATATAGTGTATATATATACGAGCTGTAATAATGCATACGAAGTAAATTTTCTGCTACCGTATTAAATATGAACAGCCTTTATCAAAGCTGTGTGTGTAATAATACATGGGTTAGCCTAACCTCTCTCGATTGGCTTGCTCGCTGGCTTGGGCTGCGCCACTCAGAATCTGACCAGCTGTTCACCGATGAGGTGGAGTGGAAAGAAATTTAATAGGGAACCAACCAAACACTGACAGAAAAATAAAAATTAATCTTAATTTTAAGTCTGGCTTCTGACAGCTGGATTCAATAACGCAAAAATAAAAGACCCCTCACCTGAAGATGGTCTGTGGTTTGTGAAAGGGTTCTACGTGTGGGTGCTGTATTCTGTCAGATTTTGCTCCCTTCGTTATGGTGATCTTGGATTGTTGTTAATCAGTAGCAAGTAAAAAGTATTTCCCATGTTAATTAGGAATTAATTAATAGTTAATTCTAATCAGAATATTTGTTGAGGAATATAACTTATTTTCCGTTGATAGTTTTGGGCTCTTGATAAATGCCCAGGCTGTATGGGTCTGTATCCAAGATCACTACTCATGAGCCAATTGTTGGTTACTTTTAACTATATTTTTCCTCTTCTATTGAGTATTGGTAATCGTCATTGACAATCTTTGGAGAACCAGCTTGGTAGGTGAGTAAATTTGTGAAATTTATTCAATATTAAGAGTTATTGAAACCTGTTTAAGACGGTGAGAGATTTGATTTTGATATATAATTTTTTTTTTCAAATATCCAAATCTCTAAAAGAAAAATGATCATGGATTGACCAAGATAGAAGTGTTGATTATAAAATTTTAAGAAATATGACTAGAATTATATATATATATATATATATATATATATAAAATTTTTTTTTAATTTAATGTAAGATTATAGTAAGACATTTTACAAACCCAGTGCCTCAGAGGCCAGAGAATTTTCTGTTTTTGTTCTTTCTTAAAAAAATTGACTTATATATAAACTCGTAGTATACAGATTTTAAAAAAGGGTTAATTACCCTTAACGTTCATCTCTCAGTTATGAGAATATTATTACTTGGGTTTTTCTACTACAAATATGATTAACGAAGGTCTTTTAAAAATATATCATGCTCAAGATTAGGACCCTCCCTCTATAAAGTTGTTCTGACTAATTTTTGACTCATTGGATGTACGAAATGCATCCATATACTCAATTTGACATGATTTTTAATTAATTTTAAAGCAAAAAAAAAAAAGATTGAAAAAATAAAATTCAAAATTAAAATACTTTAGAAATTAAAAAGAAATTAAAATATTAAAATAGAAATTTACCTCTATGAAATAACATTCAAAAAATAGGGAAAAAATTTAAATTACTTTTTTTAATATTTGTTAATACTTTTCTCCTTTATGAAATGGTTTAAACAGTGAATTTCATCTTCAATTTTTTTTTTTTTTTGCTTTTAAAAATAATATCAAGATATTAAACGGTGTAAAAAATTCCAAATAAATCCCTCAATTAATATTTTTTTAATTATTTGCATGTTATTTCAGGGGGTAATTTTTTAATTTCTAAATTCTTAAAAAATAAAATTTTAATTTTTCAAGCTATTTTTTCATTAAAAATTGAAAAACCAGGTTACATATAGCATATAAACACATGTCGCACATTAAATAAATAAAAAAAATTGCCTTGTAACGGTATTATAAATGAATGATCTTAATTATAAATAAAATTCATTATAAAAAGACTATATAAATCATATTGACAGCAGAAGAATCCAACTAATAAAAATTCAACAACAGAGGGAGGTGGAGTGTGAAAAAAAATAAATAATTGCATTTCCTACCGACATGCCTCCCAAAATAAACCACCCTGGATACTGACTCTGTTGTCTTAAGCGGATCGTGCGTTTTGAACTCTCAAGTCAAGGAGACACGAAGTTTACACATGCTGCATTTCTCTCGACTTTTCTTCCTTGCCTCCCTCATCTGTTGTGTTCTCTATGTATAACTAACTACCATCGCCATCACTATTTTCATCGGTTTTTCAAACAATATATATTTAGCCGTGGATGTGGCTGTGTCTGTGGCTGTGTCTTGTACCTTTCTCATTTATTGGCGTTTCTCATCTAATGGTCATCTTTTCAGCTTTGAAATTTTAGACCGTATCAGTCCAGTTGTTGTTGCCAGAATTAATTTCTTTTCAATTTCCAAAATTTTTTAATTTTGAATTTTATTTAGATAACATGTATAATAATTAATAAATATATTTTAATTAATTAGATACACTTTAAGTATTATATGTCATATAAATATAATTAATTTTATATACTAATACATATATCGTGTATCATTTTACATACAAGATACATGTGAGTCATAATTAATTATACATTATCCCACTTCATCCATATGATATTGTTTTTATGAATTAATTAGAATAACATAACATGTAAAACTGATGATCATCGACTAGAGTGTTACATTATTATTAAATTGAAATACTAATGAAGGACATGACAATTGTATATCATTTTTTCGACATAATCTCTTTTATATACCATGATACTAATTTTCAACTTGACATGATTTTTAATGATGATGATAATGATCCATATTTAATGTCTTTATTATAAGACTACTTCGTCAATATTATTCTAAATCAATTATGTATAACAAATTGAAAAATATGAAATATCAAAAATATATAAGTGAGCTCGAATGTTAAATATATAAATTCAATAAAAACGTAATACAATATCACTAATGACGTCTAAAATGTTCATCCTTTCAATATGTTGGTTAAATGTTTGGAAAGTCGATCCTTTTGTCAAAGGATATGCAATCACAAGATTGGAGCTAATGTGCTTGAATTGACACTCTTTATTTATGTACTTCTTTTTTAATGGCAAAACATATTTGATTTTTACATTTTTAACGATCCGGCAATATTGTTGACAATCCCAACAATCATAAGTCTTAAAATAAAGTTCCACAACAATAATCCATGAATGATGACCTTAAAGTATGCCACAAGCTCAATTTTCATAGTAGATGCAAGCAATTATAAACCTGTCTTACACCTTTTTATGAAATTGTTCCTCAAGCTAATAGAAATAAATAGCTAACATGAATTTTTTTGAATCAACATATCCAACGAAATCTGAATATGAATATACAATCACCTAAAGATGATTGGATCTCTTATAGATGAGTATATGACCTTTCGTTCCTTGCAAGTATTTGAGATTTTTTTTTTTTTGGTAGCTTTCTAGCTAGATATTAAACTCCTAATAATAGATGCATAAGAAATATTTTTCATTTGCTCTCGTTCCAATTTATTTTTCAAATATTGCATAAAGTTAATTTTTTTCTCCTTTTTGAATTGAAACTATCCCTATTGAGCATTTCTCCATCTTAAACATCTCTAGAATTTCATTAATGTAGGCTTCTTGAGAAAATCCTAATAATCTTTGTTATCTATCATGACATGTTTATATTTCTATCACATATTTCGCATCTCCCATATCTTTCATTTCAAAATTCTTAAGGAAAATTTTCTTTTGTTTTCATATAATAAATCAAAATCATTAGTAACAAGCAAAAAATATCTTTAACATTCAAAATAAAAAAATAAACTTGCTCCCGCTAATCTTTATATATATACACCAATTAACAACATTATCTTGAAGAGAAAAAAAGTGATAATATCATTAAACTTGAGGTACCATTGTAGAGAGAATTGTTTACACACCATGTGTTCCTTTTCCTTAATTCAAAAGCCTTCAAGTTGGTCCATATAAATATATTCTTTTAAGTTTTCATTAAAAAAGACACTTTTAACTTCTATTACACCTTCATATTGAGCCGCCAAAGTCATGATAATTCTAAAAGAATCTTTCTTGAAGACTAGTGAGAAAAAGTCTCTTTATAATCAATATTTTTTTAGTAAAGTTTTTTTATAATAAATCTAGCTTTACATCATTCAAAATTGCCACTTGAGTCAATTTTGGTCTTAAAGACCTATTACACCCAATTTTTTTTACATCCTTCAAGCAATTTAATAAATTTCAAACTTGATTTTGATCCATAATGTAATAACTTATTTTTGACCCCCTGTTTATTTCCATACAAAATTAAAAAAAAATTCAAAATTTTTTTTAAAAAATAGAATGTTGCATAGTTTGTCTTTTTCATGATTTTTAGGTATTTTTATAAATTTATAGGATTTTAATTTCTTATGATTATTCCTAATTTTTAATTAAAAAAGAAAAAAAGAGAAATAAAAAATTCGAGAAGATGATTTGGGATCCAATTAAAAATGATGTGAAAAGTAAATACCAAATGACATTCAATTAGAGATGTAATTGAAAATGGATAAAAATCAAGAAAACTTGATGGAGAATTAATCGGTATTAATTAAAAAAATCAAGAGAATAAAGATTAAACAATTTCAATTAAGATTTTTAATTGGAGACAAATAATGACATATACATTGAAATTGACAAAATAATTCAAGGAATGATCAAAATTGATTTTATCCCAAATCTTAAAAATTCATATATATAAGTACACTTTCACCTCACTTTTTGAAAAAAGGTCGCCTATCCCAAAAAGTCTAGCCACAATATTCTACTTATCCTTAAAAACCTTTGCCTCCATATTTATCCATTTCCTCACAAAAAACCCTAGTTGGAAAAATATAGCCTTTATTATTTATCATTTTCTTCTCCTTTCAACCAAAAAAAAAATCATAGCTAGAAAAACTATTCATCTTTCCCTAAAAATGTAGAGACTGGACACGGATCCCAAAAAAAAAAGAAAAAACCTAAAAAACCTAAGAACTGCTAAACAAGATCCTAAGGACCCCATCCACCTATAGGTTGACTTGTTATAGTCATTGCTCCTTCCTCTCCCAAATTGACCACCCTTCGACCGATATCACCTTAATCCACCATAGCCAATTGGTATCCCAACCTCAAATAAACCATTTTTGACTAGTTAAATAGGAGGAAGATGCTAAAGTTGGTCCAAATACATGAGAGAAGGCAAGCCACACGACCCATTATAGAACCCGGATTCATCTCCCAATTCCGGTGAAATCAACGGTTGTTACCTCCGGATAAATACTCTTCATCCTTCTATAAGTAGTTCCCCCCAAAATCTAGGGGAAATCTCATCAAAAGTTGGTCGAATCAAGAAGGAGAAG